GCCAGGCCGCACCGCCCCCGCCGAGCGGCGGCTCCCGTGAGCCCTCCATTCATTTCTTTTTTCCTTGACCTCAGTGGGAGCGGAGGTGGAAAGAAACTTTCAAGAGGGCAATGGAAGAGTCTCAAGCGGTGCTTCGAGAAGGCTACTTGCGACACTTCCGTTTCACCGCGTCCTAATTGCAGTTACAAATAAAGAAATAAATTCAAACTCTAAATGAATCGAGAAAAAGAAACAGGAGATGGTCAGCAACAGGCCAACTTCTATTCGCGTTCAAGACTCCGTGCGAACTCGGTGACTTCCCGGACCCGTGACGACCTGCGTCCGGTCTTCACGTCGTGGGCAACTCATCGGCCGCTGCTGGCATTGAGTGAAATTAAACAGAATTAACCCGGCAGGCAAGTCAACAGGAAACTCATTGACCTAAAAAGAGAAAAACGGCCCTCAAGTTGAGTCAACTCCAGGTGAGGCGTTTCATCTTCCCACATTTGTCACGATTCTGCTTTGTAAGATTTGCCAGTGCAGTCGATGGCCCGCCGAGGCCACGAGCGGTCTCGCGCCAGCGCTCTGCTCAACAGTCGGCGTGCCGCTTTGAAGACGCACCGCGAGTCCTGAGCACCTATCGGCTCTTCGCAACACCAGCCGCCCTTCAGTGAGCCTGAAAAAGAAAACTCTCGCGAGAAGCAGTCTGCCAAGAGGAAAAGTCCATCAAGAGCATTTTTTTTTTTTTTTTTTAGATTGCGTGTGGTTCCAAAAACACAGCAATCCAACGGTGTCAATTGGGACTTTCAGAAGCGGGCTGTTACGCCGTCAATCAAGACTCATTTAGAAGCGAGTGAGAAAAGATTGCAGCTTCGACAGCGGCCATCGGACGCGCGGCCGCTTGAACGGGCCTCCGGTTTGGACGCGAGCGCCCGGTAGCGCGTGAAGGCAGAGTCCCGCGGGACTTGAAAGGGGAACGCCGTCTTTGCCTCCGACGTCCTGATCTTGTCTCACTCCTCCCTGCGCATTTATCTTTCTTCCTGTCTTTCATCACCGAGGCTATTAAACCCTGCGAGGGAGCTCTGCCTCGTCTAATTACGCTTGACGGTAAACAAAAGGAGCTCGGGCGGGGACGGAGCCGGGAGAATGAGGAAGGGGGAGAGGGGGAGGTGAGAGAGAGCCATGACAAAAAGAAAAAAAAAACAAAACACAGCCGGCTGAGCGGCGTGTCATTAGCATTCTTGAAGCCGCGCCATTAGCGCGGCCGGTCTTTGAGCCGCGCGGCTAATGAGTAGCTCGGCCTAATTACAGGCCACCCGCGCTCCGCCGCGATGTGATCCTCCGACGCCGGATGTTTGTTAACTTGCCCCCCCCCCCCCCCCCCCCCAACCCACGCACCCACGCCCCACGCGCCCCCAAACGCCAAGCTTTTGCTTCACGGTGTTCTCCGCACGAGCGCCGCTCTTCAAGGCCCACCCGGAGGACGCGCAAGTCTCAATGTCTTCCGGCAAGAAAGAAATGGCCTCGTTCAGCCTTGGAGCGACACCTGAATTATTTCTCAGGCCCCCGCCATGAGAAAACACAAGTCAACTCGGTGCAAGATTGGGGGCGCAAAGGGTTCAAAAGGCCACGCCGACAAAGATGAAGCCGAAAAAGCCAAAAGCTTTTTGCCTTGACATCGTGACGATCGAGTTGGAGATCTCCGAAGAAAGAAATCAATCAATACAAATCCCCGGCATGAAAATCCATGCCACTCAAATTCTAAAAATGAGAAGACTCTCAACGGGAACACAGATGGTGGAAAAGGAGAAGCTTTTTTTTTTTGGGGGGGGGGGGCGAGATGACGATGATGACAAAGTAGCTCGATGCGAGAAGGCAACGGTACGTTCGGCACAAGTCGGAATGCCCTTCAAAAAGCCTCCGCGCGGGAGGGGCGGCGTACGTTCGTTCTTCACGTCCAAATGCGATTTCCCAGCTCGTTGTGGCCCGTGCGCATCCCGACACTGTTGGGACAACGCGGCGGCGCTTCGTAACGTTTTCCAGGCAGCGGTCGCCTCGGCCTCGAGGCCTTTGAGACGTTTCGCGACATCTTTCGGGCGCGTCGGCTCAGAGCCAAGAGCGAGCGCGCGTTCCGTTGCGCGGGCGTCCTGCGGCAAAACAAAGCGGGAGTCTTTGTTCTCCGTTTTGAAAGCTTTTCATCCGATGCGAGAACTGAACAGCCGCCCCCCCCCCCCCGGGGGGGAAACTGAAAGAATTTCGCTCGTGGCCTCTTGTGTCAACAGCCGCGCGCTGGGAAGCACACCGAGGAGGTGAACGCAAAAAAGCGCGCGTCAACACAAACCAAAGCCGCAGCGTCTCAAGACGGAGGGGAAACAAAAGCCAGCGAGACGAGCTCGGCGGAGAAGACGCAGCTCAGGTGGGAAGCGGAGAGCCACTGGCGGGACACTTTTGGAGCGCTTTTGCTTCTGGTGGATCATTTAGCTCTCCCCCGGTCCCACGGGTGCGCGTGGGGGGGTGCAAGGCTGCCTTTCTTGAACCGACTTTGCGCTTTTGGGCTCCGTCCCTCCGTTCGGGAAAGCGGCCGCCCCGTTCGGACGCCTGCGCTCGGCGAGCGAGGACGAAAAGGCCGCGGGCGACTTGCGAGTTCGCCGCGGCGGGTAGGCGTGGCACTCACCTGCCGGGCCGGGCCCTCCGGACGTCTCCTGCGTCGGCGCGGATCGGTTGCGGTTCTGCTGGCGCCGTTTGCCGCCGGCGGAGCGGGAGCTGCGGAGGCGCACTTCGCTGACCTTGAAGAAGGCCACCAGGAAAGGCTGCTTCTCCAGGGCGCCGTCGCGCCCCACCAGCCCGGCGTCCTCGGGACTCACGCGCCGCCCTGTTTGGGCACAGGAACGGACGGCCTTTGGAACTCCATATTAAGCGCGGTCCCCCCGATGAACGCTGGGAAGAATTTCCCCAAGTTGGGTGATACTTGGAGTGGAGGCGGGCGGGGCACGCGAAGGTCTTACCGCTGGCGGTCTCCACGCTCATCTGGAGGCCCAGGTTGTGCAGCGGGCTCATGAGCCACAGGTTGCCGGTGGCCGTGACGTCAAACTCCAACCAGCCCTCTTCCGGTGCCCACAGCCGGCGAGACTCCAGCAGGAAAAGCTCGGCCTCTCTGCGCGACGACAAGAGATGACGGCGCCTTGACTTGCGGTACTCGCATGCATGCGCGCTTTGGACTCGATTCAACCGCATAGACGGACGGGCTCGAGTCCTTTCCTCGCCTGCTGTCGGCAAATCCAATGCAAAAAAAGTGCTCGTGAGCCGTCCCGGCCGCAAAAACGCCAAGTCGTGAGGCGGGCCGACGCGCTGAACGGACGAGCCCGGACTGAAGCGTTTTGGCTGGTCGCCAACAACTAACTCCCTTGTCTTGTCGCGACTCGGAAAGCTACGGGTGGCAGGAAATCCTCCAAAGCCATCGGATCGGGACGCACGCGGTCTTCAAAGGCCAAGACGAGACTCCGAATGTTGCCGTGAAACGAGTCCTCAGATTTGGGGAGAGAAAACAGGAACCGAAACGAAGGGCGCTCGGACGGGGGAGCCGCCCTTTTTCACCGTGGCCGTCGTGGCCTTTTGTTTCCTTTGACTCTGCCGACGAGGCTTGAACCAACTCCAAAAGAATCCCAATCTAGGAGGCCTTTGATCCGCAAATATGCGGGAAAAGCAAAGGCTTGAGGCCGGAGAGTACAAAGCGCCCGTTGTCGGGGTGAAGGAATGCAGAAAAGAAGTCGCCCCCGACGGCCGCGGAAACCCTCGGACGGCCCGGCCGAATAGACGACGGCCAGCATCTCGACGGCTTGCCGATACGGCCGCCGCTTTCTTCGGAGTCGGCGGCGCGATCGAGTCGGGGAAAAAAAAAGCGGGCCTTTCCAAAGATGGCGGACAATTTGGAAAGGCGCGAGGCGCGCTTGCGTCGGCTGTCCTCAGAGCCGATCCAACGACCGCCGCCGGCTATGGGCTCCGCGCGTCGGGGTGCGGAGGAGCACTGCGAAGCGCTGCCGTTTCAGCGAGACGCGGCTCCGCTCGCGTTTGCCTCAAGGCCGCACGCTGCGCTACCTGTCCGGGTGCTCCTTGACCACTTGGTAGACTTTGAGCAGGAAGGTGTCGTTGCAGAAAGCGCGGCTCACGCACTCCTTGTAGAGGCGGAACTCGGCGGCGGTGACGGCCTCGCCCTGGGGGATCTGCGACAGGTTGAACTTGTACTCTTTGTGGTGAGGCCGCCGCAGGGGGGGCTCCCGCTCCGCTGTCGGATGGAGAACACACAAAAAAGAGGACGCTGGTGAGACCCACGACCACTTCTGCCGAGACGGGACGGCGGCAAGCGGGCAAGAGGCGAACGCGAGGAGGTGTTCCGCGGCCCATCGCTTCCCGTCTCGGATGAGGCCGCGCGTCTCCCACGGCCACTTTGGGGGGGACGCATAAATAGCGAAAGTTACAACCTCAAAAATGTGCTCCGTCCTGCAAAATACACTTGCAAAAATGTGCACGTTAATCGATTGTACGCATCCTTCGCCACAAGACAAACAAGCAGCCACCCGCGCAATTCGCTCGTCGGCGTCGAGTGCACCGAGGTCGAGAAGACTGCGCTTTGCTCGCCGCAGACGGACCGGGAAGCAAAGATGGATTTATGCGGCCCCGAGAGTCGGGCCCGCGTTCGTAATTGTTACGTACGCGGCAAACGGTGCGTGGAAGACGCCGCGAGCCACACAATTGTTTGGATTCGGAAATGCAATTTGATTCCCGAAAGGAAGGTCTGGCACGCGCCCGTCTATCATTAGACCTTCCTTTTTCGGTCCCGTGTGAGCAAAGAAAGCGTTTCGCTGGCACGGCAGACGTCGGGACGGGAATGCCAGCGACGGCCTCGGCGGACGCCGGCGCCCTCCGCCCGCTGCGAACGCACGACGACGGCTGGCCTCTCTCGCCGCTCGCTCGCGCGTTTCACATGGCGACACAAAAGAGATATTTGATTTCGGATGATTTGGGAGGACTTCCGCGGGCCAAACGTGAAGGCGAGAGGTCCAAACGCATTTCCTGCAAGCCGGGAGCGAGGCTCGCCAAGTGCTTTTTCAATGCGGGGAACCGCCCAAAGTGGACCGGCGACACATTCTGTTCCTCCGGTCTTGGGCCCAAGAGTAAAACCGAGGTCGGAAACGTCGGCGCGTGCCGGGCCGGGAATGCCCACCGTGACCTCCAGGGGCAACCCTGCCTTAGACCGACCGACTTGAAGTCTCTGCAAAATAAAGCGCCCCACCCCCCCAACCCCTTTTTTTCTCTTCTGTACATTTCGGTAAAACTCCCAAGTGTTTGCTCATTTGGATTTTTTGACCGTCAGCGCTTTTCACAAGGAATTTCAGTCGCTCCCAGAAAAATAGAGGCCCAAAGAGAGAAAGAGAGAGAGAGAGTGCGAGAAACACTGCAAGCTCGCCGCGCTCGGCTGCAATTGGGAGCGTTTCTGCTCTTTGTAGTCAGGAAATTGGCGCTCCAAGCTCAGAGGCCGCGGCGCAAGAATGAAGGCGCTGGACACGTCCAGCGGGACTCGTCATTATCTTTGTGTGCGTCTTTGGAGATTTTCTCCTGACCCGACATCAAAGGACCCAGCGGCAACAGTTCATGTGCACACAACGCTGATGCAACTCAAAACATGTGCACCAACGGCACTGAAAAAACACACACACACACACACACAGTCAGTGATGCAAGCAACGGGGGTCCAGGCAGGATCACGAGTCCATCGCGAGGATATGAGGCGGCGAGCTGAGCCCAGGACCGCGCGCGCTCTTGCGATGGACGGCCTCGCATTTAGCAGGGGCCCCGACCGAAGCGTCTGTCATCATCAGTCGAGGAAGACGCGACGATAAAGATCGGGGCGCCCGTCGGCCGTCACGACACGCGAGGCTCGGTGTCCGCGGCTCTCGACGGCAGGCCGGGAATGCGCCGTCGGCGCTCGTGGGCCGGGCCTTTGCGAGCGGACGGCCCTCTCGAATTTGGGCCTCTCTCGCGCCGTCAGGCCGTCATCGCCTCGCTTGTCCGGTCGCCGGCTCGTCGGCGCGCGTCATACCTGTGTGTCAGTAGCAGGAGCCGTTCCGCCTCTTGGATGGCGATCTCTCGGGAATACGAGATGGGGGAGGGGCTGCCCGCCGACGGTAAACGCTTGAGCGAGAACTCGCGCGCCCCTGCGTTCCACTCCGATCAACGCCGGCTAGCGCGTTTGCGGCAGTCGAGTTCACAACGGTGCCACTTTGACCAAGAGACGGACGGGTTCTTTCTTCCGAACGTGACCCAATCTCGCGTCCCGTAGCCAGAGCGAGTCTTATCCTACGGGCGAGCGGCAGACCAGGCAGGAGAGGCCCGCTGCGGTGACGCGAGAGCAAAGTCCGCGTTTAGGCGTGCGAGCGCGTGGGTGAGGATCCGCATATGGCTCCTTCATTTTGATGAAGGCGCTTGGTATGCGGCAGCGGTTGTTGGGTTTTTTTTTCTCTCCACTGCAAATCCCTTTCTGCCATCCCAACGACAAAGAACACAAGTGCATCCGCAGCAACACATATTGTTGAGATATAAATTCCGCACGGGATGTATTTTAGTCATCTTGTGCCCTTGGGAGGGACCGCGTGTCTAATTTGGGGTTCTCGAGCTGAACAAGTGGAGGAAACCCTGCATTAAGGCGACCGTTTGTCAAACTGGAAAAAGCACACTGACTCCGAGTGGCATTTAGCTCCTTTTTTTTTGGGGGGGGGGGTTCTTCCCACTTTCAAATGGAAAAGGAATGCGACAACGTCCAAGTGTCGGCTGTAAGGTGACAGAAACTCCCAACCCAAATCCGTTCAAAACGAATCGCCGGCAAAAGTCCAAGCGTGGCTCTCCTACACAAACGCGCGCCACCAACACGGCTCGGCCTTGCGCCGCAAAAGATGGAAACTAAAATTCATCGGCGCGCGGATGAGGCACTTGACGTCAAAACAATCTGCTCAGAGTGCGCGTGCACCAGGAAGACCCGGGTGGAGTTTCCCCCGCACGTCCTGACTGATAAGACACTCGAATGCCTCTCAAAGCGAGGCGACTGAGCCCAGAGGCATTTTGGCCAGGGGGGGAGCGTTTGCAGAACCTCGCCTTGTTTCGACGGCGCCGTCGGTGA